CCGGCGAGGCCGGGCGGGGGGCGGGCGGCGAGGGGCCTCCCCGGTGCCGGGCCGTGGCTCGGGCGCCTCCGCCTCGGCGGCAGCGAGGCCTTGTCCGTGGCCGAGGGGAACAGGGCCACGCGGCTGCCGCTTTCCGGGGCAATCACACCGGGACGGGGTGAAGAGGCCTTCACCTCGGTGTTCGGTGGGAGCGGGCGCTGCCGCTCTTGCCCGCCAGACCGACCCCCCGCGTTGACTCCCCGTGCCTGAGATGGGGACAGCGAGGTGCGGGCTACTGCTCCGCCGGGATTGCCCTAACACCGCTCTGCCTGCCCACCTCCCGCCTGACTCCCCTGGGCAAAGGAAACAAGCACCTGGTGCATAAAATGCAAGGAGTTCCCGCCATAGTGCACGAAGGCAGTAATAGTGAAATGGCTTCCTTGAGGGAGATGTCAAAAACACATCTGCAGATCCTATGCGTGTCTTGGCTAGGTGATCTTAAAGGTCCCTTCCAACCTAGACAATCCTATGATTCCATCATGTGAGACGCATCCCTTGTTACAGGCTGATAAGGTTAAGTCAGTAGTTGCTATTAAGCATGTTAAGCAGTAGTTGACTGCATCTTCCTAGAAAAACAAGATAGACAACTGAGGTAGTCCAGTTTCCATCGTTCTCCCATGAGCCTACTCTTAAGTGGTGACTTGGATCTCTCCAGGCTGCTTTCTTGCCTTCTCTTGACTGTACCTTTCACTTCTTCCTCCCAGGTAGCCATGCTCCTATTGAATGTATGCTGTTGTGTTGGGCTTTTTTTTCCTGCAATATCACATGAGTTTCTAAAGCAAGAATATTCAATAAATGCAGCAACTGCCTTTAGATATGCAATAAAGTCAGTCTTTTTACTAGTTCTGTGTTAATTCATTACAATAAACTAGCTATCATAAGTTCATAGAATCGTAGAGTGGTTTGGGTTGGAAGGGACCTTAAAGATCATTTAGTTCCAACCCCATTGCCATGGGCAGGGATAATTCCTGCTAGACCAGGTTGCTGAAAGCCTCATCCAGGCCGGCCTTGAACACTTCCAGGGATGGGGCATCCATGACCTCCCTGGGCAACCTGTTCCAGTGTCTCACCACCCTCACAGGAAAGAATTTCTTTCTAGTATCTAATCTAAATCTCTCCTCTTCCAGTTTAAAACCATTCCCCCTTGTCCTACCACTACACTTCCTGACAAAGAGTCCTTCGAAAGACAGGGTTTTTTTTTTATTTTAGATTTTGTAGCATGGAGATTATTATTTTGAGGGGGTTCTTGGTAGGATTCAACTATGAACATCCAGTTTTGGAGTAAATTGCATTTAGGTAGGTGGAAATCATGCAAGTTGGAGGTGAAAATTTTATTCCAACTTTTAAGGAATTATGCTTTTAACTGCAAGTCATCTGTCCTTTTATGATGTGTCAGAAATTGGCAAGAAGAATTAATCAGTGAAGTAAATGGCTGGCAGCTTCCCACACAAGACTTTGTGGAATACCAGATGACAAGAAAGGCAGGAGCTGTTGGTCATCTGTCTTAGACCCGTCATTACAGATTGAGTGAAGTGAATGCAGCACAGCATCCACTCCCTTCCACCTCACTTTCTCCCTTGCCTTTACAGGCTGGTCTCCTCTGTCCTCTTTAAGACCACAGTAGGTATTTCAGCATCTGCTTGGCAAAGCAGCAATGGCAGGTAGAGCTAGACTTCCATACGTCATTGCTTCTGCTCTTCTTTTTTCATGCTCTTGGAAAAATGAGTTTTCTGTGAGCCAATTTGTAGTGGTTTAACCCCTGCCAGCAACCGGGACTATGCAGCTGCTTGCTCACTCTCCCCAGCTGGGCTGCAGGAGAGAATCAGAAGAGTAAAGGTGAGAAAACTTGTGGGTTGAGTTAAATACAGTTTAATAAGCAGAGCAAAAGCCCTGCACACAAGCAAAGCAACACAAGGAATTAATTCACAGCTTCCCTCGGCAGGCAGGTGTTCAGCCATCTCCAGGAAGGCAGGGCTCCATCACGAGTGATGATTACTTGGGAAGACAAACGCCATAACTCCGAACATCACTCCCCTTCCTTCTCCCAGTTTTATAGATTGAGCATGACATTATTTGGTACGGAATGGCCCTTTGGTCATTTAGGGTCGTCTGTCCCAGCTGTGTCTCCTCTCAGTTCGTGCCCTCCCAACCTGCTCACTGGCAGGGCGGTATGAGGAGCAGAAAAGACCTTGAGAGCTGAGCAACAACTAAAAGCACCAGTGCATCATTAAAACTATTTCTCATCTCAAATCCAGAACACAGCACTATACCAGCTGCTAGTAAAAATGTTAACACTATCCCAACTGAAACCATGACAGATGCAGGAGAGAGTGTTTTGTAGTGAAAATAGGAATTCAACAGTTTCCTTTACTTGATGTCTGTTAGTTATAAGAAAATAATTTTGCTTTTATCATAACTCTGTAATTCTCTCTACTTCTGTCAAACCCTGTATACCCTTATGTGTGTTTGTGGTAAGTGAGGTAGCATTTTTACAGCCACACAGGGGAGTTAGCAAGTGCGGTGGCATCAGCTTGTCGGTGACAAACACATAACCACTGGAAGGTAGTTATATGCGGTGCTTTATTTCGCGGGCCCGGGAACCAGGGGTAGTCACCCAAATCTGGTTCGCCGACAACCGTGTCAACTTACAATTTATACCCTCACGATTATATAATTTCATACATGTTCAATAGTCACCCCATCACCTCTTATTACATATTCATTAGGGATTGCTTCATAGATTGCGTCATTCTGGCGACATTCCAGTCCCTTCTAGTGGTCTTTGGTGGTCGTTTCTGATGAAGTAAGACGTCTTCCTCGCTGTGTACTTTTTACCTTTCGTCCTTCTGGTAGGTTTCCAGGCCTGTTTTAGATGCCTATCTCCTCCTTATTCTTCTTGACTTTTCAGGCGTCCTCGGTATGCCGCTTCAGTAGCTTTAAACTATACCCCTCTCCCATTATTATAGAATGCAGTACCAGATCACAAATATACAAAGATTTTACACCAAGTTCAGAACACCTCGTATTTTCCAACA